AGGCTGATCAGATCCAAGGATTTGTGGCCGCTATTAAAGTCCATTTTGGTGAGGAGGGGACCTCTGGTATATGCAGTGCTTACAGGCGATCAGAGGCTCTCAAAAGGCATGTGTTTGTCAAGTGCTCTCTTCATTGTATTCAATGCTGCGTAACTATTTCCACCCCTGGTTGTCCTCAGCACCAGATACCTGTATGTCCTGCAAAATCTCTGTGGGCTGACAGGTTTGGGTAAGAAGAATGTATCTGGTTTCTTTCTCTTCAGCTGAGGGGGCTGGCCACAGGGGAGCAGATAACTCCTGCACCCTAGGAGCTGCCCTCCAACCAGGTACATGTCAACAGGAGATGCTCTTTCTCCCCCACTAATCTAGCTGGAAGACATGTATACTCCTTCCTTTCCTTGTCTGGGATCCTGTTATCTTCAGTCTCATTAGTGTCCCTCTGTGACTTCATACCCCTTAGGGGCACAGCCCTCTTCCCACATGTGGTGGAGTGGCAGGCTCCCCTCTGTGGCAGAGCATTCCTTGCCCACAGAACAGCTTTGGAGTCTTCAATACCTCGACCCCTGGGAAGGCGTGAGCATCGTTAATGCAAGCTCTTCCCTGCTCTTCTGGGAAAGCCTCTGCTGGTGAGAAGGGTATTGGTCTCCATAGCCCATTTGGTCTGTGGCTCTAACTGCCAACCAAGGAGGCAACAGTCAGGTCTTTGGAGTATGAACAGAGGAACTGGATGGAGAACTACCCACTTGTTTACCACCAAATGAGCTGGGGAAGACCCCCTGGTAGGCTTGCTTTAGGATTCAGAAGGGTACCCTTACTTTGGGACTGTAAGTAAGATACCCTTATTTGGGGACTGTTGGGCCTAAGGTCATGCCTCATTAAGGTTAATTTTGGACATGGGGTTTCAGAGAGACTGTTGCATGGGCAGGGTCTCTGCTAGTGGTAGAGTGGTAAAGAAGGCCTCTCACTTTATGAAAGAAACCACAGCTTTAATTTGGCTCAGGGTAGTTGCTGCTCTCAGGACTTCCTTAGCAGATGAAAACCATGAGTGTTGCTTTTTGACAGGAGGCCAGGATCAAATGAATGCCCTTGCTCATATTGGGCACTTAACACACATGCAGGGAGGCTGCTCTGACACGTTGTAAATCCAGTGTGTGTTCAATTTATCAGAATAGCATTAACTTAATTTATCATGGGTACATTAGCAAGCTTCAGATTAATCGAGTCTGCTGGAGTGTGGAAATTAACACACTCCAGCAGCCTCCAGTGTCATGTGTATCAGTATCCCTGCACTGAAAAATGATGGTGGGGTGTTGAAAAAATGGCAGTGGGGCACTTTGAACTAAAGCTTGCTTGACAAGCTTTAGTTCAAAGTGCCCCACCACCACTTTTTCAACACAGGGGTGGGGGGGAGGTGGTGGCACAAGTGACACTCAGGTGCTTTTAATTAGCACAGGTCTCTAATTAAAGACCCCCACCACAACCCGGAGCACATCTATAAATGCCCTGTCTCCCTGGGAGGGTACACTCTACTTAACTTGCAGCTCTCCATTTTCCTGTGAGCTTTGGGGGACTAAAAAAAGGTTCTGCAGAGCTAACATGATTTATTGTCTGGCCAATGGCAGCAGTGTGATGCCACTAGTCTGCCATGGCATCTGAAAGTAGACCACGGTCTCTTTTCATGCCCACGATCAATTTTTACCATAGCTAGATTCGCCTATGGAAGGAACCCTTTCAAAAGGGGAATGTTTCAGCTGGGCAGCAGCTATGAGTTGTGCTGTTATGTGAGAATCCAAAATTACTCCAGCTTTAACCCTGAATGAAGCAGAATTAAAGTTAGAGAAGTTTTGTTCCATGTGAATCATTCTCAGCTTGTTCACACACAGCAGTTAGAAGGTTCCAGTGCCTGCCCTATTGCAATGGCTCCAAATGTACATGGGACCACATCTGCAAGGTTCTTGTTCAGCCTCAGGATGGGGTGCCAGGTACTGTTTGTGCTTTTCCACAGGTGTGGCTCCTGCTTCTCTTTAGAACTGTGCCTACCACCTGGCCTCAGGTCCTGCTGTGCTCTGGAGTTGCATTCTGCTGATGTGGTACAAACCTTTCAAGTCTGACACATCACACAATTCTCCTGTGACAGCAGGAAAGCAGCTAGGACCACACCTGCTGAAGCAGACATCACAGTGTTTGTGAACAGGTCCCAACCCCTTCCACAGCTGCAAAGGAAGAAGTTTGCAAGAGAACCACCTCTGGAAGGTGAAAATGGGGAGGGACCTGCCCAGGTCTGTTTCTGTCATCCACAGATAGAAACTCAGCAAGTTTGATCCAGAATGTCATCTTCTCACTTGCTCACAGTGGCTGCTGAGAAAAGGAGGCAGGGAAGGATTGCTGCTCCTGAGCTGTGAAAACAGGGGCTCCAGCCAGATCTTGCACAGACCAGCTGGTGAGCTCAGATCTCATGGCATAAGCCCAAGCTTCCAGCAGCTGACATGTCAGTGACCTCAGAGAACTTACTATGCATGCAGTGCACAAAGAGGGGTACAATCACACCACCACGCTCTCCTGGATCTGCTCCTGCCTGGTGGCCATAAAATTGGTGACTCTGCTCACTAGGGAGGGTGCAAGGAAGGGTTGGCAGATAGATTGGTGATGTGGTTGGTGACAATGTTAGTTTGGAAGGGTCAGAAAGCTGTGACAGGTTGGGTTAACCCCCATGTTCAGGATAAGGCAGTACCCAGGAGAGTTGGAAGCTCCTAAGAGACATCTGTCTCCTTAGAGCCCTGTATCATTTGCAGTGCTGGTGTGGTCTTTTTTTGAGGAATCTGATTTATCAGAATAGCAGTAACTCAATTTATCATGGGTACATTGTTTCAAAGGAACATCTAATGCTGGAAGGGTTTCAAGGAAAGGCTTCTACCTGTCCTGAGTTTGGATGTGGTCACTGGTGTGAAGCGTGGGTCATAAGAAATAATGAGAGGCCTAGAGAATGATCTGCTTTATGCAGGTATAAATCCAGGATTTGCCAGCTGTTAGGGACACTACTGACTCATGTGGGTTTAAATACAGAGTAGGGAGTCTGGGCTACCATGCACAGCTGATGTTTGTAGATTATAAGGGCAGAGAGGACCCCTGTGATCTCCCATCTGGCCTCCTGCCTAACACTGTCATTGGTCTTCCCTGAATTAATCCTTGTTTGAACTTTGGTGCAGCTCTTCCCTGGTAATTTGTTCCAGTGGTTATTTACCACCACTGTGAATTCGTCTAGCTCCAACTTTCAGCCAACAGGACCCTGTTATATCTTCTCTGCGAGATTGGAAGGCCCATTATTTAGTTCCTTGGATTATTTAGTATTGAGATCCTGCAAAGTAGCTGAATTTCTGGAATCTTCTGCTATAAAGCCTGTCTTCCAGTTCTTTGCAAAGCAGGGTAGATTTGCACCTTACAAACTAACCAAAGTAGGTGTATATGTAGCACAAGCTTTCATGGGCTGCAGCTCACCTTATCAGATGCAGATGAAGTTCTCTGGTCATTCTCAGGACTCTTCTCTGGACTCTCTCCAGTACATCTACATCCATTTTAAACTGTGGACGCTATTCCAGAAATGGTCACACTGGTATCAAACCCAGTTGTAATATAACCTCCCTGCTTAAGATCATCTAAGGTTGATAATGGTCCATTTAGCTAGTGTCACACTGATTACCCACTATTAACTGTCCCCCAAGTATTTTTCAGGGTCATAACTTCCCAGGATAGAGTCCCCATCCTGTCAGTATGGCCTTCACTTTTTGTTCTTTATTCTTCCATCTTTGTGCTTCGTTCAAGGTTAAAGTTAGAGCTGTTTTGCTCCTAGCTTGTGCGCAGGTAACTGTTGGAATATAACAGCTGCTGTGAAGTTCCCTTTTGAAACTGCTCCAAGGGTCAGATTGCCTATGCCCCCAGAACTTTACAGTAGGTTGTGCTGCAATCCATATTGGCTGCTTGTGCTCAGTTTACTCGGTCATCCAGACCACTGTCTCGCAGTGACCTGTCATTTTCTTTACTTACCAAGCTCCTAGTCTCTGTCATCTGCATATCTTTTTTGGAGGTCATGTTACTAAATTTGGTGCCATGTCTAAGCTGGTTGTGTGCCATTGGTGTCATGTGGTTGGCTATCTGGTCTGGGTGCTGACATGCTGTAACACAGCTAGCTAGTACTTCCATTTCAAATACCTCTTTGCCCCAAGTTTTCTTTATAGAGTCCCTTCTCCTGTGGACTGAGAAGGAAGAGAATACCAGTCACTGACGATTTGATCCTGGGCTTTTCCCAAACACCAGTACTTACCTGTGGAGCTCAGCCTGGTTTTGTGGGGCCTGGTATTCGGGCAAGAAGGGAACCTATAGAAGCTAGACAGAGAGCAAATAAAGTTTCAGAAACAACCTGTTGAGACCTAGCGAATATGCAAATTCAAAGCAGATTAAAGTAGGAAGTACAGCTTTTATATCAGCCAGAGCTGAGATGGAAGGGGGAATTTTCTCTACCCTCTTCTCAGCACCAACCAAAGAGATGGGAGCTCTTCTTCTGTTCACTGTATGCAGCAGTGCTGGCCCTTTAAGGCAAATTCTCAGCTCTAGTATTGCGTCAGCCTAGATACGCTGCAGAATAGGAGGCTTGCTTGGAGTTAAAATTACAGAGGATGCTGAGTAATATAGGGGCATAGCATGCTGGGAAGTGGCAGAAGGTATAAGTAACTCTTCCTTTGTTAGAGACTAAGAAGGAACTGGAGCTTTTCCATGGAAGAACCTGGGCAGTGGCTGGAGCCAGTTGATGACAGAGACAGCCTGGGAGAGATGTTTTGGACTCTGCTGTTGGTGTTTAGCTTCATTGGGTTTTTTAGAGTCCCTAGCAAGGGGCAAAAGGGAAGGGGTCTCAGACCAGGGCCTGCATAGGACACTGCACTTTTATCAGCTTTACTGTTTCTTCCCCATGTTATCAGCTTGCGCTCTCAATAACCAGACAGACATGATCCTGAAAGGGATTGCTCCAACTTTCATTTTATTTTCTTTCCAAAGTGGAATTGCAGGAGGGGAAGGTGTGCAAGAGGGGGGTTGGTTTGTTGCAAAAGGGCCGGGGGGAAAGGGAAGGGGGAATTCTTTGGATGTACATTGGCAAAGGAATTCCTATCAGACTGGAAATGACTTATGCGCTAAAGCATGGCAGGCAGAACGCTCTGCCTTGGTGAACATGCTTGGGTTTTCATCCTTAAGGTCTACTTCAGAGATTGTTCCATGTATAAAACAAAAAAGTATATTTTATATATATATATATTTGTGTGTGTGTGTGTGTGTGTGTGTGTTTATATATATATATATATATATAAATATATATAAACACACACACAGTCTACATTCCCTACAACTCCCAGTCCCTAAGGGCTTCAAGTTGTAATGGCCATGCATATATTTGTAGTATAAAAATGTATGCTGACTGAGCAAGTGCCTTCCTTGCCGGGTGCAGGATTGGCCACATGATAAATAAGTGGGAAAGATGCCGTTATATGACATCAGACAGCTCTCACACATTTGTGTGGTCAACCAAGCACTGAGTGGCTGTGCTATTTTGCCTCAGTCCCCGGCTGCCTCCTGGAGCTGTACCATCTGGTTGCCTATGCTTTAAAGAGGAATTTTTGATCCAAGGGAAGGGAGTGAAGAACTGTGTCAGATCTTGGGGGTTAGCTTGAAATGTGCTCAGTCCTGCTGCCCAGGAGTTAGGAAAACTGCATGTCATAGGTTTCTATGTTTCCAATGGACAGTTTTGGTTGTTTTACCGGGGGGGGAAAGACGGTCAAAATTCACCATACGATAGTTAGACAAGTCTTCATAGAGGTCTGTCTGCCTGTCTCTCTCCTGCATGACATACCCCATTTTTTAGGGCAAACGGTCTCCTTTTGTCAGGCTTAGGTCAAGTCCCCGATGGGCAGAGAGGGCAGTCCTTCATACAGGCCTGTCCACAGCATATTGGCAAGGGCTCAAGTTGGAAGCTGCCGTCTGCACTGCTGGGTAAGTGAAGTTAGCATGCTGCTTGGCCTTCAGCCTCAAGCTGGCCAGGCTGGAGTTGCATGTGTCCCTGTACATGTAGGGGCTGGCAGTAGAGGCATAAGGACAGGCACTGGATGAAACAGCAGAGTTGAGGCTTGGGCTGTTGAGGTTGTTGATGTTTCCCAAGTTGTTGAGGCTGGAGCCAGGTACTCCAGTCACTGCTGAGGGGACCATGGAGGAAGGCATGGTCATGGAGGCAATGGAACTGGGTGGGGAGAACATAGGCTGGGAGGAAAGGGGGCTGACATTCATGGAGTTGAAGAAGGGGAAGCTCTTGGCTGACAAGGGACTGGTGGCAAGCCCCTTGGTAGCCCAGTTGTTATATGAGTAGCTAGAATACATGTCATCATAAGGCTGCATCAGTCCATTGAACTGGGCTCCAAAACTGTTCTTGCAAAGTTCTGCCTGCTGGTTCCTTTCTCGTTTCCTCCATTTGGCTCTGCGGTTCTTAAACCAGACCTGCAAAGGAAGGAGAGAGGGGAAGGGGGTCACTGTGATTATTGGCAGGGAAACCTTCTTATTCATCCCTTATCCCTCCTTTACTGATCCAAGGACATTGGGAGAGGGATTGAGTGGAATGAATGAAGGGGTTGTAAATGGGAGTTGTTCAGTAGAATTAATTAAAGAAAAAGCTAATTCTATATCAGGGCAGGTTGCTTAGTGGTGTCCTGGTAGGTGGTGGAATGATCTTCCAATGAAAGTGGATAGGAGCCCCAAAACCAAACAACAGAGTCTGCAATATAGGGGATAATCTTGAAATGGACATTGTCATTGTGTAAGGTGCTTTCTATCTTTTGAGTCCCATCATGATTTACAGTGTAAATTTAGTCATGCACCTCTACAGTTTCTATAGATACCCCAAAGAGTGAATTCACCCCAAAGTAGTGAAAAATTCAGCAGGTTCCTTCAAAATCCCCGCTTCTGGGCTCTCAAGTTTTGTGCTGATTCTTTGACTGTAATAGAGATCTACTAGAACCAGCTGGAAATTTTCAGCAGAGATTCCCAGGAAGTCAGAAAACCTCAAACTCTGCTCTGGCGTGCACTACAATTTAATAGAAAGATTATCTCAGAGTCACTCTCCTCTTTTATTTGCAATCATGTCGCCCACCTTGCTGTGCATTCCCCATCATATATCAAGTCTAGCAGTTGTTTACATGGTAAACCTGTAATCTGTAATGTACCTGTAATCCATCATCTGCTTCCTGTTCTCCCTATTCCAAGTCCTAACGTATCTTGCTTGATTCCCTCCCGTTGCCAGGATCTCCACATTTCCCTAACCCTCACAACATGACAAATCAGCTGCCCTTTCCCCTCAGAGCTTAGCTTCTGCCCAACTAGAAATAAAGGGCGATGGCATCCATCTTTGCTGAGGCAGTCTCATTTTTCATCTCTAAAATTTAGAGGCTTGTCAGCCATCTTCTTAAGTCATGTATGACTTCACTCTTATTGACAGTCACAGCAACTGGGAGCCATTTTGGAGAAAGGTAAAACTTTTGTGAGGGGAAAAACAGTCACCAGAAATTCGTAAGAATTTCCTTTAAACAGCCAAAATCTCCTGAGATTCAAAAATCATGAGCTAGCAATGAGCCCTTGTGTTCTGAGAACTAAATCCTGACAGGAAACAGAAACCTGTAGCCTGGACCAAAGTAAAATACTGAGCAAAAAGAACTGAAAGGATTAAAAAGAAGGGGAGAGGATAGAATAGGGAAAGGACAGAAACTGGCACTTGGGGAAATTGGGATACGGACAGTGTAGAGAGACTCGGGCAGCGGTCAGCAAACTATAGACCACAGGCAAGATCCAGCCTGCAGAGCCATTTGATCGGTCCCACAGACATGGGGCTTTGGCAGTTGCTTTCCCATGTCATTGCACTGAAAAGTGGCAATGATGACTGGGTCCAAGCACCTGCCCATCTGCCTCTGACCCGAACTGGGTCATTCTGGTCTGTCACTTGAATGGTTGCTGACTACTGGTCTAGGGGATGAGATGAGGGAGAGATAAGGATGCTGTTAGCTTGTATTTATAGTAACATCCAGAAGGCACTCGCAAGACTGGAGTCCTGACCCTATATAATGAATTAATTCTGCTGCAAAGAACTTCCCATTTCAGTCAACATGATAAAGGAGGGGGCAAGGAAGGAAGGCACAGAGAAAGGCAGTGACTCGTCCAAGATCGCTCAACAGGCACGTGATAGCATAGGGAATAGACCTCTTGAATCCTAGGTGAACACCTCATCTGTTGGGCAAAGCTGTTGTGAGGCAGGGGAAGTTATGAGGCAATATGGAAGAGACTGGGAAGAGGCACGGGGAATTAGAGGTGAGGAGAGATGGCACAGAAGCATAGACAGCGAGGAGGGGGAAAGGGAGGGAGAAGATCACGGGGGCAATGGCAGCAGTCGAGGCACAGAGCATTACACGTGCGAGAGGAAGGAACTCCATGAATTGTGTTATGGCACCGGGTTTCTTCCCCAAGGGCCCTGGACTCTGCGCAGCAGAGGAACCTCCCTCCCTCACTACTCCTCCCCCGGGAAATATGTTGGCATGGAGGAGGCGCAGCTTCCTGCTTGTGGGAGAAGACGCCCCATGTTGTTAGCCTTGGTGAGATTTCCCTCATGAAGTCTTGCAGAAGTGAGCAGTTGTTCCTGTGAACTGGTGACTGAGGCCTGCTGAGTGCTAGGAGCAGATTCTGGGGGTTTATCTCAGAATCTGGCAAAGCCTTTACTGGGCTGGCGTGGGGCTGGCTGCAGAGCTGGGATCCAGTTTCAATCCAGTTCCCCAAGCTCTGGCTGTGTTGAGGGTGCGTGGAGTGGAAGATGAGGAGTGGCCATACCCGGACTCGTGCCTCAGTCAGATTGGTCCAGACTGCTATCTCCTCCCTGGTGCTCATGTCCGGGTAGCGGTTGCGCTGGAAGGTGGCTTCCAGTTCTTGGAGCTGCTGGCTGGTAAAGTGAGTCCTCTGCCTTCGCTGTTTCTTCTTCAAGGAGCCATCCTCAGGGTTGGAGTCATCAGTCTGGTTCTGCTGGGACTTCTCTGTGTCTGCAAAAAGCAAAAGGAGGAAATCTGTCAGAGCTCTTCCAGGAGGCACCTCTCACCATTATGGGACAAGCACCTGCAGGCTTCTGGCCTCTGCATCCAATTCCCAGGACATCGGTGCATCTTAATGCCATATCACCATCTTCCCAGTCCCCATAATCTAGGTGCAGGCCCCTTGCCATGAAAAACGTGTAGTGAGCTTGCATTATTACCTGGGAGTTGCTATGCAGAACCTCTAGTGACGGCTCACCTAGGTTCATCTCCCCTGGCTCACCTGCCGCCTGGTGGCTAAACTCTGTAATAGCACCTACCAAAGACCTACACTGGGTGAGCTGATCTGGTCTTTATTATGGAGTAAATTTACTAAGGGAGACAAATCCAGGAGAAATGCATGCCTAGGGATGGTGTTGGGCATTACACCCTGAGACTGAGTTTCTCTTCTCTCGCTGGCTCAGCCTTGCAGCCACACAATAAACCTCCACTTTGATGCACAGAAGCATCCAAAAACCCTCTTGTCCATGCCCAACATGCCCTGGTTTTGTAGCTCGTTTATAAACTGACACAAAACATTGCATAGACATTCTCCTTACTTCTGCTTCAATTTAAGTGTGGTTCATTACCGTTTGGTTTAAATCTGTTCCTAACAAACTTAAGTTAAACTGACATGTCAGGCTAAATAGGTTTTAAAATGCCTGCATCTTCTTGCACTGAACTAACTAAAATCCCACCTTTAGCTCAGCCACTGTAATTCTGCAGCTAGACAAACCAAGAGAGGTTGCACTTTAAAGGTACACAAAAGGCAGAAAAAATGGTCGAGAATAGAGTAAGTAAGGTAAGTTGCATGGTTCATTCCATTTCTGGAAAGCACTCAGATATTTGGATGATGGTTGTAGTTTAAGGGGCAGGAGAAAACAGAACTGGAGTTAAGTCCTTTAGTCTTCCAGGCTTTTACAATGCACGTAATGACCATTGGGACACAAAGATGACATTCACAATATAAAAATATTTTTCATTTATATGGTTAAACTATTTTCTTCACCATGACTTTGGATGCTACGGTTTCATTAGCAGGGATTTCTAGGGAATAGCAGCCAACAGAGAGAAGAGGGAAGCCACATGGCCAGAGATTACAAATAGTCTCCTTCTACAAGGAGAAGGAGCCATTCATGTGAGTAGCAAAGGTCACTCCATTAAGTCTTATTTGGATTCTTTAGGCACAGACATTTTTAAGAGGCAGTAAGGTGATAAAAGTGACATTCAACCCTTCTTAGCTTTTGTCATCGTGAAGTATGGCCTGTTGTTCCCATGCCTATTTTTTTTCTCATCGCTGGATCCCCTCCTTATGGTTCACGTCCTTTTCTTACCATCTTTCTTACTATGAAATGACCCTCTAGCAATTCTTTTGGTTGAACTGAACCCCAGTATTCACAGTCAAGTCTAGTAAGGAAGTCTGGTCAGAAACATGAGTTAAAATGTAATCTTCATAGACATCTTCCAGTGCACAAGCCTTAAACAACCATGCTGCTGTGGCTAGACTGCTACTGATACCCAAGTAAGCTAGTTTAAAGTTAACCCAGATCTCTCTCCACTATGCTGAAGTCACTTCAGTGACACTGATGTAGAGAAATCCAACAAAGATAAGATTCCAGCAGTCAGCCTCTGCCCTACATTGCAGTCAGTGCAACTGCATGCCTTGCGAAACAGGACAGAACAGGAATGTCAAATCATCTCTATCAAGAGGTAACTTAAAATCAACCTTTGCATCATTTGTGGGAATTGTAACCGTTCCATGGGAGCAGAAGAACATGGGGAAGAAAAAAGCAACATACTGTACATTAAAAATCTTCTCCTGTGAGCAATGACAACACTTCATTCCTTCAGGGCAAAAGGAAGCTTCTTTCTTTTAGGGCATCTTATTCTCTAATTGCTCACTAATGACCAGGGATCCTGGTTTTCTCCGATTTAAAAACAATTCCCTAATTTTCAGATTTAAAAAAGTAACCCCAAATCCACATTTTTCCATGATTAAAATGAAACACCACCCTGGGGAAAAACTAAAATGAAACACTATGGTGTTTCATTTTAATCATGGAAAAATGTGGATTTGGGGTTACTTTTTTAATCTTAAAATTGGGGATTTTTTTTATCAGAGAAAACTAGGATCCCCACTAATGACTTTATAGGCAAATCTAGAATTTTGAAAAGGCAGATGGTGTGATGCATCATCACATATAAAACATCACATATTTTTCTCCAGTTAAAAATAAACTAGAAGCTTTACTAATATGCTAGGAGCCTCAGGCTGTATTATTCAGTTTAAAATGGAATAAAAATATAATTTCCTTGGAATGAGTTGAAAACAATTTGCAGGGCTGTGAAATCGGAGCTTCAAGGGCAGCTAAGGGACAGCAGAATTGCAGAACAAAGGATGGCCTGATTGGCGGGACATCAAGACCATTAAAAGGAGAGAGGGTTTTTAACACCTGTGGAATGAAGGGTTTAGAAGGGATCAGATGATTCTAATATAATTAAGGGCTTAGTCCCACTGTCGGTAATGCTCTTGGAGCGTTTTGGACAGGAGGCAGTGCAGCAGAGTGCCACCATGATGGCAGGGACAGAGTGGGGCCTAGCCCCTCACCCCAGCCCTGTTCCCCAGAAGCGGTGGCGGCGCGGGGTGGTAGGTGGCAGCGCTCTGTCCCCGCCTGCCCTCCCCTCCCCCATCATTCCTGACAGGCAACTGGCTAGTACAGGGGTTTTCAACCTTTTTTAACAAGTGTACCCCGTCTGCCTCAAAGTTTCAGCTCGTGTACCCCTTTATATTTTTCTCTTGTTTTTAAGGCATGGGGCAGGGGTAGGCATTGCACAGCCGGGGCGAAGTGCGGGATGCAGCCACAAGAGCAGGTCATGCAGGGGGCACGGGGTGGGGGGCAGCTCCGGTCACTGTACGCACCCTGCTGGAAGCCCAAGGAGCATGTGCCCCCCAGATCTGTGCACAGGGCAGAGGCAGCTGCTGCTGCAGGCTGGACTCTGCACCCTACTGTCCCAAGAGCTGCACAATGCCATGTGCCTGTTGCCACCAGGTGGGCAGGGGTCACACACGCATACACACACACACACACACACACAAAGATGCAGACACAGACACCCCCTCCCTCCCCCCGGAGGTAAGTGTGTGTGGGGGAAGGGGCAGAGTGGGGCCAGATCAAGAAGGGAGGAGGGAAGTGTCTCTGTGATCACTCCCAGAAGCAGGGCCAGGGGGGCAATGGCAGTGGTGCCCATCTGCAGGCCACATGGATGGCCAGATGTGGGGAGGGGGAGGCTCACACACGGAGGCTGCCGCTGCCACCGCCACCATTGCCACCCCGCACCGCAGCCTTTGCCACACCCTATGCCGCTTTCTCACGGCCAGTCACACACGCAGCTCCACGGGCTGGTGATAGGTCTCGCCCCTGGCCAATCACAAGCTGCCTGTCACCAGCCCACGGAGCCGCACTTGTGACCGGCTGTGAGAAAGTGGCACGGCAGCAGTGGTGGCACAGGGTAGCGATGGTGGCAGTGTGGCTGCTGCATGCAAGCCCCCCACAAAACCAGCTGGCTAGGCAGTGCATGTGCAGCTCCACAGAGGGGCACTGCTGCCCTCGCCCCCCCCAGCCCTGCTCCTTGGAGCAGGCACAGAGAGCGAGCTGAGGTGGTGGGTGGGGAGGCACTGCACTGTGCTGCGTGGAGCTGGTGGCACCCGATGCATCCCTCCCCCAGGTAAGAAGCAAAGTATGGGAATGCGCCAGGGGAGACATTGCTGTCGCTCCCTGGGGTGCGCTCCATCCCTGCCCGCGTTACCCCCTATGGCCTTTCTAAGTACCCCTAGAGGTACACATACCCCTGGTTGACAATCCCATGGCTAGTAAAATATAATAAGCCATGAAGTCCAGTGACTCCCTCAGCACTGCCTGACTAGAAATGCTGCCACTACTGCTAGGCAGTTGGTTTGAAACTTTGGGACAATGAGGAATCAAAGTGGGGTGCAAGCGCACCACTGCACCCCCCTGGAGCCACCCCTGAATGGCTCCTTCCACCTTCCTTGGGAGCATCTGATTCTGCCAATGTCTTGGACAGGATTCTGGATTAGATGGAAGTGCCAGGTCATAGAATCACAGAAAAATGAGGCTGGAAGGGACCATGAAAGGTCACCTACTTCAACTGCCCTTCTCAAGGCAGAACTGTCGCTCTCCACATTAGGCATTAACTTTTGAATTTTAACCACAGGATACGCAGCCCAGCCAACATCCTTGAATGAGTGCAAACCACACTTCTTTTGCTTCATAGCTGAACACATTAACCAGCTGTGCCACAGAGATCAGTGTTCATGTGTTCCTATCTTCTCCTTACTTCTTCTGGAACAGGAATTGTGCTTAAAGTGCTATACATGTTGTTAATTGTCTTTGCAGGACCAGCTGAAAACTCTGAGATTGGAACCCCATTTTACTGGGCATTTCAAAGAGCCAGGTCAGATCTTTACTGTGACATTTTGCTGCTATGGCTTTGTCAGGTAAGACAGGGCTTGGCAATGTTTTTGGGACAAGTGCCAAAAACACCCCAACCGCAACTTGTAAGATGGTGTCAGGGGCAAACCATAGGGAAGCCACGGGGGGCCTGATCCTTGTTATGGTAGCACAGCCCTGGTCCCTTCCCCACTATCCGCCCCAAGCCACGCATGCACTTGTCACCAGCAATGAGCTGGGATAGGACTCCACAGACCTCTGTGCAGCATGCCACAGCTGGCCCAGAGTCTGGGCCAGGCCCCTGATACCTGCCATGGAGCCTGTGTTGTGGCAGTGGAGCCCCAGCCCCTTCCCTGCTGTCTGCCCTGAGGCACGAATGCTAAGCAAAATGCTATCACGTGCCATGCTCTGGTTATCAACCCCTGAGCTAGGACCATGAAAAATTTCAAACCCTTTAGACCACAGTGATAGCAAAAACCATGGTGTACATGTAACCGTGCCAAT